GAAAAGAAGCAAAAGGAGGGTTAAATTAAAATATTTCATTATGGAGAGATGTTTAATTTTCTTCATATTGCTTTGTACCTGCAGCATTGAGCCAAACAAGTATGCAGGTACCCCCAGCAAATTTGCCCATTTCAGTTAGCACTGACCCCAAAAACTGGGTCATATGAGCCAAATAGTCGATGGCCATATCCCCACATACTCTATGTAGGGCTTGCAATCAGCATGAGACCAACAGAGAGCCTATGTCTGTGTTACAAGGATGTCCCCAAGTATGACCTTGGACTTGATGCGTGGGAAGTCCACACTGCTGACTGGAAATGCTTGCAGAAGATCAGCCAAGAAGGGATTGGAGAAAGCAGAAGTTTGAAAAAATGACCAGATTGTGGAAAAGAGAACTCACTGGAAGGAATAAACATCAGCCAGTTTTGAGCCAATACTATTGACTATGTCAGCTGAATGAGGAACAGTCACTCATGAATGGGCTTCTGTAGCTACAACACATGATATTCAATCCAGAAGACACACATACCTTGAATGCAGTCCATCATCTTCTGAGATAGACAAGTACTACCGACATTAGTTCTGACAGGTGAAGGATATATTACAGTTTAATACCCATAGATGTTAGACACGGTAAAAATGCAGGTAATAGAGTTAAAGTTTATCAGTCAATGTTAGCCCTATTTTGATGTGTCAGATTGTGGCATGGTAATGCTAAAATAAATATCCTAAGTTCAATTAAAGCAATGAGGCATTTATTTTTGTTACCACTGATCTTATCTGTATTTCGATAATCAAACCCATCATTTTCTATCACCAGAATTTGGTATCTGTACTAAACATTATCACTATCTTCTTATTGCATCACCCTTACCAAGATTAGACAGTCAGGAGGGATCAAACATGATCTGTATAGCTCAGCACCAGGGCAGAACACCAACTGAGTCACTGGTGACCTATAGATTTTGAATTAAATGTTGAACAAAATAGTTTTACATAAAAACAGTGACTCAAATATCAATATGTCACTGACTGTGGACCCCTTCACTTCAAATTATTATTGCTTTGCTGCAACCCACACCTACTTTGCACTGCTGCAATAACAGTAGCATTGTCATCTGGCACCTTACCAAAGCCGGGCACTGCAGACAAATGTGAACACATAAACATATTAAATTATCAGAATGGAAAAGATCAACAGGTCCAATGAGCCATCTCAGACACTGGCATTAGCATGGGCATTGTACAGACAACCATACACCCACAAGCATATATTCGCCCCTGCTCGTGCTCATATAATCTGCTGGGAAAGAAAAAAGGGAAAAGATTTCCAAGAACAATCAGAAAAAATATGTGAAAAATTTCTCTTAGGTGACCAACACAAGATCACATAAATCACACATGTAGTCTGAGAACTATTACAGCACAGAAGGAAGAGGCCATTTAGCGCTTGATATTTTATCTATCTTTTATGATGCGACCTGTTGAGACCACACGCAACCAACCAGGATCTTATCGAATGGTGGAAAAAGCTTGAAGGGCCTGATACTCCAAAGTCTTATGTTTCTATGTCGACTAATCTCTGGGAGAGGTGGAACCATCTAGTATCTAACCTACATCTACACTTTCATAACTTTAATACATGACCGCTGGTCTTCCCCAACCTATTTAGTTGAAATAGTCCCTAGGAAGGAAAAATAGCAAACAATGTAATAATTTTTTATATTCAAAATATCCCCTGTACATTTATAAAGGGAAGACACCCATCTTTTCAAATCTTTCAGAATAGCTTTGATCTTTCAAATTAAATAGTTGTAATAGCCTTCTTCAGAATTTTCCAGAACTTCTGGATAGTCCACTAAAGAGATCAAAACTGGATGCCTCATTCCAAACACGGTTTAGACAGGAGAGGACAAGTTGTTTTACATTGAATGATTCAATCTAGGCAACCAAATGTTCCATTTGCTTTAGTTACATTTTCTCAGCTCTTGCCATATGTTTTGGAGAGTTGTGAGCAATCATAACTGAATTTAATTAGGAATCATGCATTGTGAAAACACACTTGGTTTCTATACTGCCCACATACACTATACATGTTTAACTACAGTAAAGAATGTTTGCCAGATTCTGGTTTAAATCACCCAACTTTCATAAATTTGTTCTACTGCAGAGTTCTGACATCCACAAATTGTGGTGCCTTATGAAAATTTGCACATTTACACAGAAGACATTGTTATGATGAATTCATATTAATAATTATTGTGGTCTTGATTTTAAATGATTCTTGATTTAAAAAGTCAGTGAAAGGACATTAGAACTTTTCTTTTAAAACAAAGCATCTCTTTAAAGTTACAAGTCTTGTGGTAACTATTTGTTTTCTGCAGACCTGCTGCCTGGGTTCATGACTGTCAGGTTGCAGATTCTGCTTTGGAGGTTGTTTGGATTTTCCAGTTGGTGGCCAGCCTGAGGAAAGAAAAGAGATTCCTGGCCCACTTCTCCTGATTTTGAAGAATCTCTTGTGCATCCATTGTGGTAGCTGGAACCCTAGTCTGGTTTGAACCCTGATCACATTCATAGAATCCTCAGTATTGTATTTCCTGGACAAGATGTATCAGCAAAGATCCTAGAGATATCTGGTTATGTTTAATGACATTCATCTTTGTATGCCAAAATGTCAGTGTGACAGCCACATCTGAACATTCCACGTCTTATCCTCTTTCTGCCTTCAAGAACTAAGACAAATTCACCAAAAATGTTTTCTCCCCAAACTGCAGAGAGAGATCCTCTTTTCATTTTCTCTTCATTCAGTGTATGTATGAGTGTTTATTTAGGTTAGTTAGAGGGGTAAACGTTTATATTTTCATATTCCAAACTAAATTTGTTAACCAGTTTTGCATCATCATTGAATAATTTTGTTTATTATAAATAAATAAATTTGTGCTCATCAAAGGAACCTGGTTGATGGACCTTTTTATTTTAAAACTAAGAAGGGAAATAGACTGTATCGGGACCCAGGTAAAACAATTAGGTTGTGATCTGTGGAATAGTGGAACTAAAGAAAAACAGTTCACTTTCCCCTCATGGTAATAACAACATTCATAAAGATATTAAAAAGTGACTCATGCAGGACACCACTGATAACAACCTCCAAGCAGATTTATCGACATTGACCACAATTTCCCACCTATGTGAATGGAAATAATTTCTAATCCATACCAGGTTTATGAGCCTGGTGTTTCTTGTCTTTGATTTACTACACTTTATGAAAATCAGCATCACCAGCACACGAGCAACTTTCCAAACTAAGGGTATGATCCCAGAATTCAACAAGCTGTTAAAGATAAGGACAAGGCTATTACAAATCAGTGCTCAGATCATTTATTTAAGATGCGTTATTTTGAGACATCTTCCTCTCTATTGTAAAACTACCAATTTTCATTTTACAGTGCAAGTCACATCTAGTTGTTGGACATCTAGAGGAATTTGGACTGATGTAAAATAATCATTGAACATCTTTCCCATGCCTGAAATTCCACTCCAATCTCTCCTGAAGTGTCTTTCAGTAATCCTACAAAGGCCTTCATAGTCTTGAAAAACGTTTATCATTACTTCTGTAATTATCATTGATTTTCCTTCCCATTGTTCTCTAAACTGTTCTAATCATTACTTTTGTTACCCTTGATTGTGCTGTGAAACTTATCTCTTTTTCCTTGACAGTCATCAATGTTTAGCCACATTTTTAAAATATTCAATATTTAAATTCTCTGATGATGCTTAGAGCAGTAACTCCATCAACTTAATTTCTAATATTATTCATATTTGCATTAAAATGCTTTAACAGTCTAATTGCTAGCGAAATCAAGGTCATTTCTCCTTTCTATCCTTGCCTGTTGGCTGTGTGTTTATAATTGCTGTTACCTTTCATAGAGGAACCAGACAGGGAGAGTACTTTTATGCTTTGAACATGTTTGCAAATTTTATGAAAGCTAGCCTATGTTCATCTAGAGAATCATAGTCAACAACTAAAGACTTGTTTAGCAATACTGTGGAGACATTGAAGATGCGATTTACTTGTAAGAAATTAAGAGTTAAACTAAGAAGCTAAGAATGCATTTCAAAAAGAAAACATCCAGTGTCATGAAGGCCAGTAAAGAATTTTGTGGTCCTTGTGTCCGAAACTATTTGCATTTGTGCACCAGAGCTGTGATTATAACTATCTGCCACAAGAGTGCTTTCAAGTTAGTGAAAACAATTAAAAATAAAAACAGAAATTGCTGGAATAACTCAGCAGGTCTAGCAGCATCTGTGGACAGAAACAACTGTTCTGAAGAAAGGTCACTGGGCCTGAAACATTACCTCTGATTTCTCTCCACAGATGCTGCCAGACCACTAAGTTTTTCCAGCAACTTCTGTTTTTGATTTTCAGTATCTGCAGTTTTTTTCGGTTCTTTGTTCAAGTTAGTTAATACCGGTAACAAGACTTACCAAAGGTTCTTGGTTAACTTTACATCAGTTTAACAGAAATATGAGCATAATAAAGTCACTGTTTACTGTGGCTTAAAGGGGGTATTATCTAGTCAGCACCATCAATGTGTGAACAATTATTTCACTAGTATTAATTTAATACCGTTAAGCCACCCAATATCTGATTTTTAAAAAATCTATTGAGCAATTTAGTGTGACCATGTTACAATTTTAATTCTGTGTTTCTATACTCCCAGCTCATGGTCTTAATAAGTATATTGGTCTCATTGAGAACATGACTATCACATGTTTGTAATGGGAACAGTGCTGTTGAAAAAGTGCACCTTCTCCAAATAACATCACTGCAATTTATTTTATGATATGTATATTCCATTGACAGGTTTGTTTAAGAGAGGCTACATTCAGGGTAGAAAATTAGAGTAAATAGCGTAAGTAAAGGGAATCTGTTTCCAAACGTGGAAATGACAATAACCAGCGGTTACAGACTTACGGTGATTAAAAGAACAAGGGCAATATGAGGAAAAACTTTTTTATTAACAAAATGAGTACTTTGAATTTGGAATTGTACAGCTTAATAACACGACGGAACACAGTAGCTTTCAGGAAGGAAGTTGATAAAGACTTTAAAATAAATTGCAGGGAAGTGGGAAAAGAACTGGGAGTGGGACTAAATGGATTGTGCTTTGAAAGAAGCAGCGCAAACTTGATGGGCAGATTGGTCTTTGAATGCTGTACTGTTCTATGATAGGAAAATTAACAAAACAAGTATTTCACAGAAACTGCGATTTACCACTGCACTGAGAGTTTCTTGCTAAAAAGGCATTAAAAAATTAAATTACATTACAGCCACCCTCCAAAAAGTCATTTTTTCAAACTGATTAATACACCATTACAACCATAAACATACAATCATCTCATGTCCTTACAGAAGGACCAGCCCTATGATAGCAATCAACATGAGAATTCCAGCCAAAACACAAATACCAATGAAGACAATGTCACTGCTATCTTGCATTCTGGAAAGATCTGATCCATCTACCACCTTCAACTCATCAGAGTTGGAATCCTCAAGATTAACAGCCTGGTGTTGAAGCTGATACAGTTCTGTGTCTGTAATAATGTTGTATGAAGCAGCTTTTCTTTTAAGGTCACATTGCACCTCATATTCCTGGTTGTCTTCCCAGGTTCCATCAGAAAACTTTACATACAAAATATTCACAAAGATAGTAACATTTCTTCTTCTCTGCAAAGCCAAGACAAAATAGTGACTTAGATTTGTAATAATGTATTGCACATGGATTAACTTTGAAAGACATAGGGACCAAAAAGCAACAACGATAGTGACAAAAAGTGACAATGTAAGTAACCAAGAATTGGGACAGAATACTCAATCTTTGAAGGTGATCATTGCAACAAGAAAGTACTCTACATTAATCGAAATTGCAATTTACCTTTCTTACAAGTGGAAGACCAATTTGCATTGATTACCTTAATTTCTGCTTCCATGAAGCACTCATTTGGCCAAAAGTAGTGCCAACCTGGACCTTTTTTATTATCTTGTGAGATGTGGACATTGTTCGTTGACCAGCATTTTATTGCCCATCCCTGGTTAGCCCTTGAAAAGATAATAATGAGCTTGAGAAGATAATAATGAGCTGCCTTCTTAAATTGCTGCAGTCCACGTGCTTCAGATGATCCCACAGTGCTTCTAGGGAGTGAATTCCAGGATTTTGACACAGTGACAGTGAAGGAGTGACAATATATTTCCAAGTCAGGACGGTCAACTCACAGGTTTGGTGTAGTGTTTCCACATTATCTGCTGCCTTTGTCCTTCTAGAAGTGGTCACGGATTTGGAAGGTACTGTCTCAAGATCTTTGGTGAAATTCTGCAGTGCATCTTGTAGATAGTACATACTGCTGCAACTGAGTGTTGATGGTAGAAGGAGTGGATGTTTGTGGACACAGTGCCAATCAGCAGGCTGCTTTGACCTGGATGTTGTCAAGCTTCTTGAGTGCTGTTGGATCTGCACTCATCCAGGCAAATGGGAATATCCCATCATACTCTTGAATTGTGCTTTGTAGATGGTGGACAGTCTTTGGGGAGTCAGGAGATGAGTTACTCGTTGCGGTATTCCTAGCCTCTGACCTTCTCATGTAGCTACTGTGTTTATATAGCAAGCCTAGTTGAATTCCTGGTCAATGGTAACACCCAGGTTGCCTTACTGATGATTGAGAATAGACTGATGGGACAATAATTGGTTTGGTTGGATTTGTCCTGCTTTTTGTATACAGGACATCCCTGGGCAATTGTTGGGTAGATGACAGCATTGTAGCTGTACTAGAACAGCTTGGCTAGGGTGTAGCAAGTTCTGGTGCACCTCTTCAGTACTACTGTCAGAATGTTGTCACGGCCCATATTTCAAACAAAGTTTTCCTTTCTGATATAGGTTGACAAGAGATACACACAGTAAATGGAGACCAGACATTTTCCAAACAAGGTGCACATCAAACAAAGCAGATAGCTGGCAAACCTCACTCAAGTGTCAATCTAGGTTAAGATGGCAGCAATTGCAAGGCTAGGTTTCACAGATCAAGAATCACAGAAGTGTTACACCTCAGAAGAACATTTGGCCCATCATGCCTACACTGGCTTGTTAAATGAGCATTGTTATCTAGTGCCAATCTTCTGCTTGTTCCCCATTCCCCTGCTACTATTTCTATCCAAATAATCATTCAATGCCCTATTGAAGGCTGAAATTGAACCTGCCTCTCCCACACTTCCAGGCAATACATTCCAGAACCTGTCTACTCACTATGTCAAAACATTTTCTCTCTTACCGCCCTTGTTTCTTTTGCAAATCACTTTAAATCTATACCCCCTAGTTTTTGTTCCTTTTATGAGCAGGAAATGCTTCTCACTATCTACTGCTTCCAGCCTGTTCATGATTTTGAAAACTTCAATCAAACCTCTTCTTCAAACCTTCCTCCAGCTCAAAAACTATCCATTGACCATTACTGTCTGTTTCTTATCACTCAGCTAATTTTGTATTCACATTGCCACTGTCTCTAAATAGCTTCCCTCACGAGTCTGTTGTGTGGCACTGTCTCAAATGCCTTCTGGAAATCCATTTACACCACATCAACAGTGTTACCATCATCAAACCTTTCTGTTACAGTGCAGGTAGTACAATTGGCCCCTGATCATTTCAATTTTCCATAATGTACAGACATTGGGCACCACAATATTCTTTAATCTTTTTCTTTCCAGCACTCTGTCTGGGTGCTTCATGAGCAATTTCAGCTGAGCTGGTAAAAGCTTGCTGACTTGCTTTGCCACAGACAACTTTGGTAGGCGTCCTCTGGTGGGATGGGGCAGAGGGCCTCAACCTGCTGCAGGGGTCTCTTGCGGAGATGTAGGTGCAATCTCAGCCTGAGCTGCTGGAGACATTGAGTCTCTGGCAGAGTGGAGTTGGTACGGCAGGCTACCTCTGAAATGTTCTCAGAAGACAATTCCTGGGAGTCTGTCCGATGAACAAACGGGACAGATGGTCCTTCGATTACTTCTTGCCAAGCCAGCAAATGAAAGCACCTTTTGCTTGAGCAATGGAGTTAAGGCTTGAGCCCATTTTGGGCAGATACTGACTGTCCTGCTGCACTTGGCTCTCCATGGCTGTCATCTCTTAGTCCATAGCGAGCCAAGTCACTTGCCAGAGTCACACCATCAGAGGGAACATGGGCAGACTCTTCCATCCTTTGCTTCAGTCTGTGTGATCTCTGGCACCTCTGTCAGATATTCCACGACTTACCTCCATCTCGTCAGCTCATTTACAGCTAAGTCAAGAAACTCATCATCTGTACTAGACTCAGTAAGCGTCCATTTCCCAAGGGTCCTTTGAGTGTTAGAGACCGCGGCCGTTTTCACTGTTTATAGCTGAAGGTCCATGCCGGTTCTGTGCTAACCAGAATGTTATACTGAACCTATTCTCGATATGTTATTCACCGAGGGGGAAGTATCTGCAATGGTGTAGAATGGTTTGGAATGCCATGATGGTGCTTCCTCGGAGAGTCCAGGCTGTTTCTCCTTAGAGGTGTGCTGGTTGGGGGTTGGGAGCGAGGGGTCTGGGATTGGGGCTCTTCCTTGTATTCCATGGATCTGTGATTGCGATCTTGATATTACAGGGGAAAACATAATGGTTGCAAAGCTGTCACCCTTACCAAAGGTCACATGCTTCTTGTGCAGTTGTGAGAAATTCCTTTGAGGTTTTCTCATTAAACAGCTGGACATATCCAACCTTGCCTTCTGCACATGGCTGTTTGCCATGCTCTCTGCCAGCTCAGTAGCCTGTTCCTCGAATGTGGCGAGGGCACATGGTTCAAGTCTTAGCACACTCTCTGCAGTTGTGCAAGTTCTCCTGCAGAATGTCTAATTAGTTAGTTTGCGGACAATACAAAGATTGGTGGAGTTATGGATAGTGAGCAAGATTGTCAAAGGATACAGCAGGATATAGATCAGTTGAAGGCATGGAAAGAAAAATAGCAGATGGAGTTTAATCTGGACAAATGTGAAGTGATGCATTTTGGAAGGTCAAGTACAGGTGGAAAGTATACAGTGAATTGCAGAACCCTTAGGAGTACTGATATGCAGAGATATCTGGGTGTGCAAGTCCACAGATCACTGAAGGTGCAGCGCAGGTAGGTAATGTAGTAAAAAAGGCTTATGGCATATTTGCCTTCATTGGAAGGGGCATTGCGTGTAAGGATAGACAAGTTGTGCTGCGACTTTATAGAATTTTATTTAGGCCACATTTGGAATATTGCACATAGTTCTAGTCACTACACTACCAGAAGGATGTGGATGCTTTGGAGAGGGTACAGAAAAGGTTCACCAGGATGTTGCCTGGTAAAGGGGATTTTAACTATGAAGAAAGGTTGGATAGACTGGAGTTGTTTTCAGTGGAATGCAAGGGGGTGAGGGGCGACCTGATAGAAGTTTATAAGATTGTGAATGGCATGGATAGAGTGGAAAGTATAAGGCTTTTTCCCAGGATGGAAGGGTCAATTGCTAGGGGACACAGGTTCAAGGTGCAAGGGGAGAAGTTTAAAAGAGATGTGTGAGGCACGTTTTTCACACAAAGGGTGGTGAGTGCCTGGAATGTGTTGCCTGAGGAGGTGGTGGAAGCTTAGTGCTGTAGATCTCTTTCTGTTTGCCATGTAAACTATGGCAAATGTGTGAAATGAAGAATCACTCTTGATCCAATAAAGCTAGATGTAATGAAGTGAGAAAGATTGATTAGACATGAGGCATATGATGTTATCCAAGGATGTGTGACATTTCCATACCATGGCAGGCTTACAATGAATGCAGTCAAAGGAGTATCAAGAATTTAGTAGACAGTGACATTTACCACTGGCAGACCGCAAAAGATCATTAATTCTCTTGCAACACCACGTTGTACCTCCACGATGATAGTGTGCTGATTGCCTCAGGATGTCCCAATGCTCAACCTGCAGGAGCAGCTCTAGAGATCAATCGCTAAATTTTGGGGCTACCTTCTGCCATCTTCATTATTGGGTGGGACCCAGAATGCAAGCCCCACCAATGGTCAAGTTGCCTATCAAATATAGTATATGAAAGTTGGATCTTGGAAAGTCCCAACAAGAAGGCAGAATTTCCTGCCTGCCCACCAATAAAATTCGGCATTTTAACAAAGAGCTGAAATGAGACAAAAGAGGACCACGTGCTTCTGAAATAGTATACAAGAACCTGAACAGGTTCTTCATAAATAGCATGAGACAGAGTGGGGAGAACAACTACATAAAGAGTGAGAAATAGAATGGGGTCAGCACTTCTCAAATAACAGACAGTAGACCTACACGAAAAGGGCAGTGACAGTGGGAAATAAACAGATGGTGGAGAGGGAGGCCCAGCAGAGGGAGAGTGGACGTGTGTGAGAAAGCTAGCAGTGGTAGACAATAAATACCAGCAGCAGAGAACCCCTTCAACTTGTATCTACCTGTCAGAGCTGAAGTGTGATGACACAGATAAACAAGTAGGTGATGTATTAGGGGTAATGTATTAGCATGGATTGGGGATTGGTTTAACACAGAAGCAACAGGGGTGGGATTAATGAGTGTCTTTCAAGTTGGTAAAACATAAATAGTGGAGTCCCACCAGGATGAACCCTAGGGCCTCAATTAATTACTAACAAAGTAATGACTTAGAGGAGGGAAAGAGTGTAATGAATCTAAATTTGATGATGATACAAAAATAGCTGGGAGGGCATTTTATGATGGGGACATGACGAATATATATGTTGAATGACTGGGCAAAAAAACTTGGCAGATGGAGTTTAAAGGAGAAAGGTGTGAGGTCATGCATTTTGACAGAAAGATCAAAAGGCAGACTATTACTTAAGTGGAGATAGACTCTAAAAAAGTGCATCACAGAGGAATCTGGGTGTTCTTGACATGAAACACAAAACCTTAGCGTGCAGATACAGCAAGTAATTAAGAAGACAAATGGAATTTTACCCTTTATTGCTAGAGGTGTGGAATTTAAAATAGGGAAGTCGTATTACAACTGTACAGTGTGTTGGTGAGGCTGCACCCTGGAGTGCTGTGTACAGTTTGTTCCCCATATACCAGTATTGGAGGCAGTTCATAAAGATTCAAAAGGCTGATTCCTGTGATGAAGGGGTTGACTTGTCAAGTCTGGCTAAGTGGGTTAGGCTTTTATTTATTAGAATTTAAAAGAATGAGAGGTGATCTTATTGAAACATAAAAGATTCTTGACAGCTTGACAAGGTAGATATTGAAAAAATATGTTTCCAGCAGTGAGGGAATCTTAAACTGGAGAACGTAATGATAGAATAAGGAGATACTAAATTAAAACTGAGATGCGAAGAAATTTCTTGAGGAGGGAGTTCTGATCTGTGGAGACTAGATCACTGTAACTATTTGAAGAGGAAGAAGACAGAGTTTTGAAAATATCAGGCAGTTAAGGGCCCTGATAAGTTTACAGTAAAGAGGAGTTAAGGCCTGGGACAGATCAGCCATGATCTTCTTGAATGGTGGGTCAAGCTTGAGAGGCTGAAATGCCTACTCCTGCTTCTATTTCTTGTCTTCTCACGTACATGACAATAAGCTTTAAGGAATGTAATTGCACAAGAAAACTTAACCCATTCCCAAGTAGAAAAACCTCCTGTTTTTTGGACCTGCCATGATATTAAGCCTCAGAAGAGAAAATTCCACCCATTGTTTTTCGGTCTTTTTAAGTCTTGTTGGTCTACTAGATTTTCTAGTGAAAGGACATGACTGACATCCAATTACCTGGGTCTTTGTTTCACATGCATCAAATCGTGAGATAATTTTGTATGCAGAGCCAAAAACCTGAGCAGTACAGCCTTGGTTTCCTAGATAAATGTTGCTTTGACTGAGTGAAGTAACAGCATGCGCAGCAATCTGAATCTGGAAATCTGTTCTTGTGCAGCTGATGTTCATTGGAATGACTGAAACAAATAAAAGAAATAAAGCACAGTTAAGTGTCAATAATTCTGGCTGCATTGGTTACACAGAATAATCCACAGAATGCTGTACCATACAGCGCCTGTTGACTCAGTGGGTAAATACACTTTCTAGTGTGATACTCGGTTGGTCATTCAGTTGGTAAATGGCCGGCTCCAAGTTATCAATGTTGATGATGCGAGTGCTTAGATTGGAACAGCAGATAGTGGAGGCACTAAATTATGGGTTTTCACATGTCACAATAGAGTGCCAGCCTTAAATTTTGTACTCAAGTCTCAGGAGTGGAACTTGAACCCAAAGTCTTCTTTCTAACTTAGAGATGGTATGTCATTCTATCAGAAGGATTAGTCAATAACTGAACCTATCATTCCCACCATCATGCTTCCTTTGTCCATTTGATATCCCTTTGGATAAATTACCACCCAGATTCCACACATTTAGTGGCTCCTTGCCACAATCAGCCCTCCACTTACCACCATCATATGATACATGGAAGCCACGAGAAGCTGTATTCCTGTCAGCAGATAACACAAATAAAAGTCTGTTCCCATTGGACAGGAGTGAAGACGGTGAGTTCTGACCACACCATTTCCCTAGCAATGTGTCAGTTTCACTTTCTCCATCAAAGATCGCAAGAAAATCATAGTCACAGGCATCTGTCAGGCTGTCCCTGTCCTCCAGCTCAAAATCATTTAAGTGAATGTTGATCCTGTAACCAAGAGGTTGGTGGATTGTCCAGTGACAGTTGATATTATTTGGGTAAATATTTGGATAGCGTGGGCTAGAGAAATTCCCTTTAATAGCTGTGAATACTTGCTGACATTCACCTGGGGAAAATGAGACACAAAATATCAATATTAACCCTTAAAAATATGATTAACAAATAAGTGGGTATTTGTAAAGTTAGTTACTAAAAAAAAGGCTTCTGCCTAGAATTGACAGTGATTTGTTGTGAATCTGTGAATGTGAAGGAATTGTTTTTCAAGCTGGTTATGTTGGTCGATAAGCTTTGTGCTCCGCAAGTCAAGGGAATGTTAAAGGCAGGAAATGTAACATTTTCAAGAACTCCTGATGTCAGCCTATGGGTAACAAATCAGAGATTGGTGCAGTCAATTATTTGTCCTAAAATGGTCTCTAAATTCCTCAGATTCCAGTGGTGAAACCAGGATTTCATCCATCTCTACTGGACCCCTGATACCCCCTCCAAGACCTGGCTTCCTCCTTTGTTGACACTTTGTTGACAAACAGAGTTTGCAATGATAGTGGCAACTCAATTAGCATGGGACAAGTAAGCAAGAGCATAGCTTTGCATAGGCCTGTGGCACTCAACTGAGCAGGAGGCCAGACATCCCATTCTTCACCCATCACACACTAAACCTGTTCCTACAATTGCAATACTGACCGTAGTTCTATCAGCCCAGTGAGCCAGAGAGAAATCCTGAAGATTTTGTTGAAACATACATGTAGGGATTTTTGGACTCCATACTGCCAGATCTGCATTGCACTAGTGGAACATTACATTTGTGGATATCCTCTAGCAAAGTAGTATGCTTGAGACAGCTAACTTCACCTGTTGCTCAAATCTTTGAGACACCTTCTCTTCTCAGGGTAATTTGAGCCAGACTGGACACCTTTCAGGGCTGAAAAAGGCAGCATTTCAACTATTTTGACTTTGCATCATATCAAACAATTATTTGATCAGAATAACCATTATCATGTAGGATAGTTTTGATGTACCCTATTTCAGCACCAAGCTTACACTGTGGTCAGATCATTATTGGACAACACTGACTAAATAATCTTGAGTGTGCTAAGAATTACACTGGAAATCAATTTAAGATTATTAGTCAGGCTTCCAGTGAGCTTCAATTGTGTGTGCTAGAATGTACATATATCTACGCACAGCACCCTGTTCTTTGCAGGCCAAGAGAATTTGTTCATACATAGTACCTTTTCATTGAGGAAAGGATAATGGTGACTGCCAGTTCCTGCTGCATTCTCCATAGCAATACTGTGACCAATCATAGTCTACCTGCTCTAAGTCTAATCAGCTAACTAGAATTAATAATTAGCAGTTCCTGCTGCATCTCCACACCGACTCTGCCCAATTAATCAGTATCCTCTTCTCATGCATGTAAATTGATGTTACCTTTCTAACTTTGGTTTCTTGTGTCAGAGGCAATACAAAAACTTTAACTTCCTTTATCTTTTTAGTAATATTTGAGTATTTACTCTGGTATCCAAAGGTTTACTATCCTACTTATTCCTCCTAGTTCATTTTTATACTTACCCCTGTTGTAAATGTATTGTATAGTGTGTTATTTAATTACACTAATCTAGGAGACCAAATGTCTGTTTTTTTTCGGATCCTTCAGCCTGAGAGTCCATCAGCCTGTTTTGGTGAATATGAAAGATTCCGAAGCAGTATAATCAAGGAAAGCAGGACAGTTATCCCTTTTGTCATGGTTAATATTCAACTCATTCAACAGCACAAAAAAGACAGATTATCTGTTCATTATGACATTGTCATTATGCCAGTTTTCTGAGTGAATATGGGCTGCTGCATTTCTTGCATTATAACAGCGACAGTTTAAAAAGTACTTAATTGGCTGTAGAATGCTTTAAGATGTCCAATAGTTCCAAAAACATAACTCTATAAATGCAAGACTGGCTTTATTTTTCTTTCTATCTGCAGATTTTGACTGAGGTAGCCAAAATTAGTCACAGTGTTTTAAAGCTAAAGAAAGCAATTCCCATTTCTGATTTTAATCTGGGTAGTCCTGATGGAAACAGCACGTACAAATGTCAGGAGAGGACAGCTTTCAAACATGGCTGTAATGTTCAAAAGGTCAAACAGGACATCAGCACTCACAATTGTATATGTTACTAAATTAAAGACACTATGTTAAAAGCATATTGTGCTTGTTTGACATTAGACCACATATTACAAATGGTCAATTAGGTATTAAAGAATGGTTAAATGGTTAAGAATGGTTACTTATTGAACATTAAAAAATGTCATGATATTTCACAGTCAAAGACTACAACTTCCAATAGGGAATAATTCTGAACTTAATCAGACTTATTAATGAAATTGGTAAACACAAGGAAAAATCTGAAAAACCTGTCATTTTCGAAGTAGATGCTTTTTCAGAACAATTTCAACTTATACTTTCTTTTATTGAAACTTGGTTACAATATCTTACCTGAAAAATAAAATGCTTTGAAGCCCCTTGCACCAATATTGAAATCTGATTTAAAAACAACAAGGAGTTCACTGCCGCTGGAGATCATGTTCGGAGGCTTTGTTCGACCACAATAGTGACCCCAGTGTCTGTCTTTCATGCTGGATCCATCAAACAAGGCAACATAGTCAAAGCTACAATCCTCATTGTTTTCCAGATGAAAGTCATAGAAAATCAGATTGACCACTGATTGATTGGAGACTCGAATAATCCAGTGACATTCTGCATTATTGGGGTAATTATCTGGGTACTCAGGGCTAGACAGCACTCCGGACAGACCCGTTACTACTCCCCCACACATATCTGAAAAAAAATGCTTGGTTTGAAACTTCAATTTAAATTGGAAGGTTTGATGCCCTTGCTTTTCAATTTATTTAATAAATATATTTTTCCCTTATCCAAGTCATTTCCCACACACTTTATCAAAAATCTCAAAGCTGCTCCAATGCTCCCATTTTGCCATTTTCTGAGAGGTATACAACACCAAATTGATTTTCACTTCTATTCACTACTGGGCACAGGACTGACCAAAAAACAGGAGAAAGCATGCATGAAATTGTACCTTCCTACCCTATGTCACTTACAACACCTAGTTAATGCATTGATTTTTCTAAGAATCCAATATTACCGATTCTAGTACCAATCACACTGTAGAGTTTGCAGACTTTGACTAAAGAACAGAAGATGTATGGGTGTGTCTGTGGGGGGAGGATATCAAGCAACAACAACTTGCATTTATGTATCAACAGTAATATCATGAAATATCCCAAGCCGCTGAATAGCAGTGATTATCAAACAGGATTTGTCACTGAGCTGTGTAAGGAAATATCATGATAGTTGACCAAAAGTTTGATCAAAGAGGTAGGTTTTAAATAGTATTTCAGAGAAGGACAAGATAGAGAGGTGAACAGTGGGAACTGCAGAACCTCTGGCTGAGCCAATTGAATGTGCAGTCACCAAAGAGAGTAGTAATTAAAACTGGGGAGGTTCAATAAAGAGGACGAGAGTCCTGAAGACTCATGACTGCCTGAGAGAAAAATATATTGCTTCCTTTTTGTTTTAAATGGGCAATCTCTTATTTTAAGAGAGTGAACCCTAGTTCTAGATTCTTTCATAAGAAGAAACATCCCCTCCATATTTACTCTGTCAAGATCCCTCAGGATCTTACATGTTTCAATCAAGTTGCTTGGTTACTCTTCTAATCTCCAGTCAATATAAGCCTTGTCTTTCTCACCTTTCTTCATAAGACAACCCAAGATGTGTTCTGTAAGATTTGTTTCTGCATCCTTCAGCTCAAAATAATTTCTGCTCAGACAGTCATTGCAAGTAAGAGCTGATAATAGCATTTCAGACATTGATGAATGATAGGACTAACATCTCATTCATTAACCAAAGAGATTTAGGAAAAAGAAATAAACAGAGAAGGAATTGAGACAGAGGAGGAATTAGAGGGTGAATTCAATATTAAATCAAGTTCAGAAAGAGAAATAAAAGGATAGGATTTTTCAGATGGCAAATTTTCCCACTCACCACCACAAACAGCATTAAGGGGTGGAGATGGGCCTTTTGCTTGAGTATGGGCATCTGTTCTTCACTCAGGCTGAAGACCCAACTCAGAGTGCCATTAGATTCATTCCGTAACTTCAGTAGTGCCAGTGACAGTGGTGGCCAGGACTGGGACTATGTGTTGTTCCTGGAATCTAAATCCAGGAGTCCAAGACCCAGTAATCAAGGAAGTCTTACAATGGGGGAGTGAGTTAGGCCTGGGGTGTGGTTCCAGATGGATATTCCAGGGGAGAGAGGAAGCAATGCTGGAGCAGATCTTGGGGAAGGATGGCCAACGTGGAAAGGGAGCACTCCATCTTCCTGCCCCAAGGCCCGAACAAGGTGACATGCTAGGATTCTCCTGCCCTTGAACTCACTCCTTTTCAAAATTTAGCAGGAAGTGGCTAATGGTAGGCCACTTAAGGGTCTCAATTGGGGTGAGTAGTAGTAGACCACCTTAGCTGCAGACAGGATCAGTCAAATGCCCTAGACATGTTCCCTGGCGAGTTTTACAAACGTAGCCTCTGCAAAATCGCCAGTGCGATCCTGTAAAATTCTGCCCAAAAATAAAAGTGTGCTTAAAAGGAGAAACAAGAGACACAATGGAAAAGTAAGAAAAAAAGAACATTTAAAAATTTAACATTTTTAAAATCATCTACAGTAATTCAGAACCTGAAAGATGGAACCTCCCTACTTTTAATTATTCACTTTCTAGCAAAAGAGACTGATTGTTAG